CCTTAACAAAGGGGGACTTAGTATACATCTCAACGAAAAATATATCCTTACCAAAGGGAACCGCGAGGAAATTAACCCCTAAGTACATCGGGCCCTATAGAATAATTGAGGACTTCGGAAATAATTCATTCCAACTCGACTTACCAAACAGACTGAAGCAGAGGGGTGTTCACCCAGTCTATCACTCGTCATACCTGAGAATACACGTACCAAACAATGATAGATTGTTTCCTGGGAGGTTAGAAACTCAAATAGCGGACTTTGAGGACTCAGAACCGGAATGGGTGATTGACCAGATCATCTCGCATTCGGGAAGTAAGGCCGACGTGAAATTCGAGGTCTTATGGAAAGCGGGAGACAAGACATGGCTGACATATGATAAAGTCGAAGGGCTGGATGCCCTTCGGGAATATTTCACGCTACTAGGGGTACAAAATGTTTCAGAACTACGAAATGGAACCGGGGAAGAGCCATCCGAAGGCCCCCAGGTGTTCCTAGGGCACCTCCAATTTGAAATCTCCCCAGCATATAACTACTCACCTCTTTCCCCAGTCCTTTTCCCCAGCAAATACCCTCTCGATCACCCAGCAACCAAACCCCCTCACGTCGGCACCATTATCCTTCCCATGCCGTATCTCGCCCATGTACAGGGCACTCGCTGGTCCATCCCTAATGCCCTAGGAGATGGCAACCTCCTACTCGTCAGCGACATCATCAGGCTCTATGTCGAGCACGACACTCACCTGCGCACGGGAACGGTTTCCCCACTGTGCACACCCATCGGCTACAACAAGTTTGTCCTGGTGTTCAACGATCAGCAACTTAATAACACCCTACCAGAGCGTCTCACCTTGGCTGGTCCTAATGGGCCCCAAATCTCTGGTCCCGCACCTACCATCCACGATCTCGTCGGGCCTCTCCCATCCATCCCACAGCCCACCAAACCACCCGCGCACGCGCACATTCCAGATGGTGGGCGCTACTTGACGCCTCAACGGGTGGAGCTGATGGAGGAAGCGCTGTGGATGTCGTTGGAATCCACCAAGCGCAAGAGGGAGTGGAGGGATTGCGCAATCACTGACTGGAAGTCAAAGAGAGCTAAGGGATGGGTTAGTGGGCATCATGAAAGAAGGGAGGGTGCTCACCAGGACCTTGCCTTGGAGGTGCCTAACGATAACTTGTTGGCTCAGGCGTCTGGTCCTACTGCTAGTACCAGCAATACTGGACAGGGGCACAGAATGGATATTGATGGCGGGAACGGAACCTCCGCACGTGCTGCTGATAGTGCTGCCGCAGTCCAGTTCTGAACCTCGGTTCGAACCCGAACTTTTCCGAACCGGACTCAAGGTCCGGTCACAGGTCCGGCATGGCCCCTGGACCGAACCTCCAAACAGGTTCGGGGTTCGGGATTACCCAGAACTGGTTCGAACGCGTCCGAACCTCTTCAAACTCATCTTTTGTCGTCCTGCCGCGTCAACCATTGCCTGCGCTCAAAAACAAATAATGGTCCTACCTATCATATCCGAGATTGCAGCAACCACTTTGCGACAGGAAATTGACTCAGTTAATGATCAATCACTCCACCCGACATTCTTGCTACTGTTTGGCCTCCACAAGAAACACAGACAATCACTGGGTGTAGCCAGCGAGTATTTGTAGTATGAAAAAATGTGAGAACATGGTCACGTTGCATCAGCTTGAACCCATGACAAGTCCAGCGTCTCGCATATTAGCTATGTACGGCTAACTCTATAACTATGAACTATCTAAATGACAACAAATTGACTTGCTCGAACATCTAGCTGGCTGTGGCAAGGTGATGTAGTCCAAGGCTAAACCATATGTATGAAGTCCATCAGTACAACCTTTGTTTTGCTCCGATTTTGTGGCCGTTTTATGTGACAGCTAGCCAGTCTTAGGTGACCTAGACCCAGGTCAAACAAGCCATGTGATACTGATCAAAACGGATACTGATTTGATAGAGTAATACAATCATGTGGCGCGCATATATGCTACACCCCCTCGACGCGTCAAATAAGCTCTGCCGCGCCCTGCGTGAACCCTTGTTCTAAACGCATCGACGGTGCGACATGCGTGACAGTGCTCAACACTACCAACCTCCAGTAATGAGTGGCTGGTTTGAGGCGTGAGGGTAAAGAAAGTCAGCTACATTTGGTGCACATGCAGATCCTGAGAGTCGATGAAATGAAGAGGTCATATTGCAGCAAGGTGTATGCAAGTGTTCGGGCAAGTTACACGGTGATGTGTTGGAGCCACTGCTCAACAACAGAAACAACAATATTGATGCGGCCATCTAGGATAGATGGTTGTCGGCCAGATACGAGCGCCAGGAAGCAGCAATCGCACTATGATGCGAGGGCACCCATGCTAGAAGATGTGGAGACAAGAGTCAGACGAATGTATATAGTACTCAGGCAGCGGGAGGGTATATTGTCGAGGAAAGCAAGTGTGACAATAGGGAGTATTTGTGGAAGCGAACCAGCTCGTGTCTTGGGCGTCTATGGAAACAAGGCAGATTAATGTATTGAAGTAAGGTAAAAACGCACAATACACGCACCTCTGCAGCTGAGACACAGACGCTCACAAACGCTCCAAAGTCCGCCTCGACCGTGCTCAACACTACCAACCTCCAGTTAAATGTCGAAGCTCGTTCCAAGCACCACACCCCTTCGAACTTTTGAAGGTCATGAGAAGCGCGTAAGCGCAGTCGCAGTTTTCCCCGATAGACGAAGAATGGTTACGGGCTCGTGGGACAAGACGGTTTGTCTTTGGGACTTGAAGACAGGTGTTGTGTTGAAGAAGATGGAGGGGCATCGCAGTGAAGTGGAGGCATTGGCGGTATCACGAGATGGGCAAATAATAGCAAGCGGTGATGGAGATGGAGAGGTCATTGCTTGGAATGGAGAAACAGGAGAATCTCTTACCCAACCCATCAAAGCCCACTCCTGAACCGACCTGAGCTCCGCTTCGACGACATACTTCTATAATCTTGTCCATGCGTAGCTGAGTAAACCAGCGTCAGAAGAAGACTGCTAGATCAACGGAATTATAAACGAACATAGCTTTCAGATGACGGCGCAGGGCCGATGCAGTAGGCCTCATCTGCTTCAAGTACATGCAGTGAGTTTGCGTCAACTTCGCTGTCAAAGGCACTCCAATACTATCCTCTCCAACAACCCGCGGACGAGGTAAAAGCCCCCTCGCAATCTCAGCTTGAGCATTCGGTCCATCCCGCATTTCGAACACGAAGTTCTTCACCAGAACTGACAAAACCGCCTATGTCACAGTGAGTAACGTCGACGCTGGCTGATTCGTTTAAATCACCTTGAATTCTGCAATTGCAAAGTCTTTTCCAAGACACGTCCTCGGGCCGTCGACAAATGTCAGCAGATGTCTATGACCTTGGACTTCCTTGGCCTTCCCGCTGATGCCTTCTTCTGCCAGCCAACGGTCAGGATTGAACTCCTTTACATCAGGTCCCCAGATGGCCAAAGAGCGATTGATCGCCGCGACTGATATCGTGATCAACGTCCCCATGTCAAAAAATGGTCCTCACCTCGTTTCTGGCCATGTTCAGGTTTCCGAGTCTTGGTTGATGTGGTGGTAGACAAAGAATAAGTCAGCCAACAAACCGAACGGACTTGGGCAAATATTTGCGACGAAACCCTCAGCCCTGGCGTTAAACGCACTATCCATATGTGAGATCATACCAGCAATTTTCGGGTGGTCATATGGCACAAATATCTCGCAGATAGTGAGTCAAACTCGCTATATATTCCGAGGGTTGTCACATGTAGTTACATTTTGATACAGCCGTCTAGTCATGGGGTGTGAATTGGTCGGCGCTGGTTGTCTATTCAAGGATAGCTGTGTAGAGACGAAGCAGCGTTGAAGGCACGTTGTCGAGGGCTATGACTAAGGTGAACTAGGTTTATTTTGGTGGATTTGTGCAACTTTGTCAATTCACGCGTTAAACGCAGTGAATGTATTCATTCACCCGCTTAGATCTGTTGTTCATGCGCTAACATTATCTTGCAGGATGTTGCCCCTCACAATCCACGCCTTGCTGATTTACTCAATGTATGTGGTCCCTTAAATCTTTCTTCTAGTCATTTATACCACTGCATCAATTGTCACAGTCCAACGCAACATGTCGTGCCGCGCGTCGAAACATAGCCATGTCACCTTTCACACCCCTTCCCCACCCGCTAAGACTATCTACAGAGAAGCCCACTATTTTTCGCTACATCTGCCCGTTCCTTCCTTATCCTTACCTATTTCCCTCGCACATCACAAAAATTGCTCAACTGAGATATTACCCGATTTAGACCATGGTGCGCCACAGCGCTTGTCGGCGACATCCCGACCTGATGTAGACATATCACAATGATGTGCGTCTGCGATGTGTTTGTATCTACATGATAGATGCAATACATTAATATTGTCGACAAGATCTACACGCACTCAGTTTCCTCCAAGTCCTTTGTTTGGTCCGCTTTGTCACTTCCGCGCAAAATGTTGGGGTTGTTTTATGTAAGGCTCCAACAGGTTGAACTCGACTCCCCAACCAGGCCTCTCTTCTCCACTTACCCATTTCTCTTCCCACCACCACCACCATCTCCCTCGTGGCTACTGTTTGTAGTTCATAACCTGAATCTCCGCTCAAGGTAACACTAGTATATCTCTGCACAGAGTATATCCGCATTTATTACCTGAAGGTGAGTATATGCGCACTGCTTCCACTATCTTCCCTTCTTCATTTTGAGTTTCTGCATAGGCTCATGATCAGGCATGGTATGGGTAACCCGCCACGAGTCACGGGTACGGGTGCGGGTTAGAGTTGCCTGAAGGTGAGTATATGCGCACTGCTTCCACTATCTTCCCTTCACGGGTACGGGTCTCACTGACAACTCTCTTTGCTCAGTGTCAAGTCGTTTTTGGAAGTACGTGGAGTGTTTGTGTTCCTCGCTCGACTGTCCTCACTTCTTCCCCGCCATCGCTAGAAACACGTCCTGGCTGTGAATCGTGGTGCTGCAATTCCCGCTTAAATGGAGCGCATGTGTACGCTACAATTCTGCTTTTTCTTTGCCTCGCACTTACTAATCTGGTTCGTCAGTTTCATGGAGCATCCGTGGGCCAATGTCACTGATACTTTCTTGAACCTTGAAGGCAGCGGGAGGGTGAGCAATTCAAAGCGACATGTGCTGTATCACTTTGCTGACTGGAATCCTCAAGATGGTCTCTACTTTTCCGAGCGACTTCTCGCGCTCCTCTGGCGCCATGGAGTACTTCTCGTCTGCACGCAAATGTCATCACTGGCGACGCGTTTGCGCGTGGTGTTATTCGCACAGTTGGAGGCGGGGGTGAAAGAAGGCGAGGGGAGCATGCCTGTAGGGGAGCAGAACAAAGACGAGATCGCCATGCAAACAGAGACGTGACTCTGATGATATGCTCGAAGTAGACCAACATTAAAAGAATGTCAGGTCCGACGGTAAGGAGGACGATGTTCACGATCCACAGAGTTTGGAGTGTGAACATGATCATTATAGCACCAAATACTGATAAGAGAATTGTAGATGCCACCAGGTGGGATAGCAATGAAAGAACTCCTAATGCTCTACCAACCCTCCGCCGGAGGGTATGACCTCCTCCCACCTCCACCCTCTCAGCACCTGACCACAGGCTCTCGCCACGAATAGTCTGTAGCCACGCCCGCATCTACGTAGAACAACTCATAGCTGGAATTTTTTTGGGTTCGGTTCGAGTTCGAACCCCAAAAAAACCGAACCTGACCGTTCCGAACTGTTTGCAAGGATACAGTTCTGGGTTCGACGATTTTGTTGGACCAGACCATGGTTCGGTTTCATGCTATCATCACTTTGGCATGGACGGAATACAAAACCGGTCGGCTTCTTGGTAGGCACTGGAAATGTGAGTATATCAGCTTATATGCTGCATATATGCGCATATACTGTGTACTGATATACAGTCATCAGCGCAACACGTTCGGACGACGAACACTAGGGATCTCGACCAATCTATAAGGCACTTTGAACGTGCGGTTGATCTTTGCGCCATAGATCATCCATGCTGCTCTGCAGCACTGTTCAATCTAGCTTCTGTGAAGTTTGTTAATTGCCAAGTTAATGGACTGTACCTCGACCACAACATCCCCACCTCTCTTTTTCAACACGCCTTTGACTTGCGTCCGACTGGTCATCCTGACCGACCGATCACTCAACTCTGTCTCGCCATTGCTCTGCTGTCCCGCTTCACGAGCTCGACGCTTACATGTCCGCGACACAATGTCATGAAGGATTTTCCAGGTACACTTGCCGTGGATGCTGCGTCATGTGCACTTCGTAGCGGTGATGTGTGTCGCGCTGTCGAGTTGTTAGACTTACACCTTACTGACAGACTCATTCCCACCTCCTGGTCTTAGGTTCGTTGTTCAGCACTACAATTGCTTGCTGCTGAAGAGGTTCGAGGCACTTGAGCTCTGAAAATGAGCATGGCATAGTGTATGATTTTTTTTGTATTTTATACTAATTAAAATGAGAAAATTGATGGTTCGAACCGGTTCTGAACCTGAACCGGACCTTATGAATGGTCTGGTCCAGGGTTCGCCTCCTGCGCTGAACTGGACCGAAGGTTCAGTTCTGGGTTCGACAAAACACCCCCAAGAACTGGACCGAACCGGACTTCGGCAGCACTAGCTGCTGAAAAGAAGAAGAAAGTTGTTTGAAGGGCGTGCTACGCCCTTGGAGGGGAGTATGTGACGAAGCTGACAAATATCGATGATGCAATCAGATTAACAGCGGATAGGCGCTTATGACAGCGGAGAAGCGCATATACCCTTGACTTGTGATTATTGTTTCTTTTACATATGATTTATCTATCACGGGCTAAGTACTAGATACCTACTTAAGTAGTATACCCACTGTACTGAAGCCCTAGTTCTTTTCCAATCAACCCAGACTTTTACCTGGCTATTGCGTTGTGGGAAGACTCTTCTTACCTTGTGCCGATTACTCAAGCATTACCCTTCGAGCAAGCGTCACAAACATGCTACAGCAAATATCTGGGGCAAATCTCACATAATCAACAATTAATCAACCACTTTTCCATCTCAGCTGCTGCTTGTCGAGCTCGGCAACAAATTTGACTCTTGCTCACCTCGAAGGGTCTTGATTGCTTCTGCGCACGGCCTTGACGAAGGTATGGGTAAGATACATACCACCGCCTCCATGGCCACCACCTTGGGTTTGTCGAGTGGGCGTCGACATGTTGCGTTAAACTCAGAGCTGAACGTTATGCTGAACGATGGGCAGTAGTGACTCGTGAGGACAGATGGTCATCCTCGGCAATTTAGGACATGATCATTTCTGATGCCATGGTAGACTCAAGCTGCGGCGCAGTGGCCCTTCGTTCAATAGCGCCCAATTTCCCGGGATCTTCCTCGGTCGTGTAATCTACCCAAGTGCTACCTCGCTGTTACCTGGCTATTGTTCGGCACTATCTCTCAAGTCTCCATCGTTTCAGTGCTCGAGTTTTTATCCGCTTCACTGTGCGTATTCACCCAGGTCTCACTTGAATCATGATTTTGTACTAATTAGCGAAACACTTGACTGCAGTGAGCTGCGGAACTTGCAATCTTGTCTTTTCCAGCCTATTTCGCTGCTCGAGCCTCGCATTTATTCTCCCTGCATTTTTCCCAGTATTCATTGTTCGCGTTACTCGCTCCCTTGTGTCATTCAAACGAGAGAGTTTAGGGTTCGTATGATTACCCAATCCTTCTCGAGATGCTAATTGAATTGTATCCTCAGGAAACGATCAAGATCGTGATCTTACCATCGTATGCGTCTCAACGATATGACAGATGATGTCGAACGGTATCGGACGGAGTTACAAGAGTGTCCTCCTGGCCATTCTGATCGATCTACATCTCTTAGCAACCTTGCCAACAGCCTTCGAAACAAATTTGAGCGGCAAGGCGCCCTGTCTGACTTGGATGAGGCCATTGAGCTCCATCGAGCTGCACTGGAGCTCCGTTTCCCTGGTCATTCTGATAGATACATGACCCTCAACAATCTTGCCGTCGGCCTTAAATGCAGATTCGGGCAACGGAGTATCCCATCTGACCTGGATGAGGCTATTGAGCTCCATCGAGCTGCACTGGCACTCTGCCCCCCTAGCCACACCGATCGATCTGCATCTCTGAACAATCTTGCTGTCAGCTTGCAAGACAGGTTCAAGCAGCGGGGTGTCCGATCTGACCTGGATGAGGCCATTGAGCTCCATCGGGCTGCATTGGAGCTCCGTCCCCCCGGTCATTCTGACCGATCCGCAACTCTCAACAATATTGCCAATAGCCTTCAAGAGAGATTCAAGCAGCGGGGCGTCCAGTCTGATCTTGATCGGGCCATCGAGCTCCATCGAGCTGCGCTGGAGCTTCGTCCCCCCGGTTGTTCTGACCGATCCGCGTCTCTCAACAATCTTGCCAATAACCTTCAAGAAAGATTTAAGCAGAGGGGCATCCCATCTGACCTTGACGAGGCCACCGAACTCCACCGAGCTGCACTGCAGCTCCGTCCCCCCGGCCATTCTGGCCGACCATCGTCTCTCAACAACCTTGCAAACATGCTTCGAGAAAGATTTGAGCAGCAGGGCATCCTGTCTGACCTGGATGAGGCCATTGAGCTCTATCGAGCTGCACTGGAGCTCCGTCCCCCCAGTCATTCTGACCGATCTGCGTATCTCAATAATCTCGCCAATAGCCTTCAAGAGAGATTCAAGCAGCGGGGTGTCCAGTTTGATCTTAATCAGGCCATCGAGCTCCATCGGGCTGCGCTGGAGCTTCGTCCCCCCGGTTGTTCTGACCGATCCGCGTCTCTCAACAATCTTGCTAATAGCCTTCAAGAGAGATTTAAGCAGAGGGGCATCCCATCTGACCTTGACGAGGCCACTGAACTCCACCGAGCTGCACTGCAGCTCCGTCCCCCCGGTCATTCTGACCGATCCGCGTCTCTCAACAATCTTGCCAATAGCCTTCGGGACAGATACTCTCAGCGAGGCATTCTATCTGACCTCGATGAGGCCATTGATCTCCATCGAACTGCACTGGAGCTCCGTCCCCCCGGTTATTCTGACCGATCCGCGTATCTCAACAACCTTGCCAATAGCCTTCGGGACAGATACTCTCAGCGGGGCATCCCATCTGACCTTGATGAGGCCATTGATCTCCATCGAGCTGCACTGGCGCTCCGTCCACGCGGCCATCCTGATCGATCCATGTCTCTCAAAAATCTTGCCATCAGCCTTCGAGACAGATTCCAGCAGCAGGGTTTATCATCAGATGTGGATGAGGCCTTCGGGCTTTATTTCCAACTCTCCAATGTGTTTTATGCAGCCTCTCGTAGTGATATCCAGGCTGCCAGGTCATGGGTCGCTTCCGCTGAGCAGTTGAGGCATGGCTCTGCATTGATGGCTTATCAGACGACACTGAGATTTATGGATCAGCACGTTGCCGGTGTGCCATCTCAACACCATTTTGATCTGTTCAGGGAGGCCACGTCATCCCTTGCAACGGATGCTTTCTCGTGCAGCGTTCGTCGCGGTGCTTTAACGACTGCTGTGGAACTGGTGGAGCAGGGTCGTTCAGTATTCTGGACACGGTTGACAAGCTTTCACACACCATTGGACGAACTTTCCGTGTTAGGTGGCACCGGGGAGGCCTTGGCGCAAGAGTTCACCCGACTCAGCCTTCGCCTCCCTAACTCGCTAGACGCGTCTACTGAAGACCAATCCCCAGAGATTCAACAACTGATCATGGAATGGGATGATGTCATCACCCGCATCCGCATGCTGCCTAAATTTTCTCGGTTCCTCCTGCCTCCCCTGTTCTCTGACCTGCAGGAAGCGGCAGCAGAAGGTCTGGTCATTATTCTCAATGCCAGCCAATATAGCTGTGACGCCTTGATCATCCTGAGTTCTCGGGATCCCGTCCATGTTCCACTTGATATCGGACAAGCCGAGGTTGCCGAGTTGTCCTCCGAGTTCAAATCCCTCACAGACCGTGTTGGCACTTCTGATCATCAACTTGAATACAAGATTGTTGGCGTCCTACGCCAGCTTTGGGATCATGTCGTTGACCCAATAGTTCGGGCTCTCAGGGAGCTTTCGATTCACCGTCGCTCACGCATCTGGTGGTGTCCTACTGCTGAGTTCACGCTCCTTCCCCTCCACGCCGCAGGGCCGTACGCACAAGACAAACACAATTTGTCACACTTTTACATCTCCTCTTACACCTCAACTCTGGCGGCACTTATTCGCGCGAGGCAGCAAGCTCGTGAAGACGCATCTATTCAGCAGTTTGCCGCCATTGGTCAAGCAAACCAGAACATAGGAGAGGAACTTCTGCATGTCGATGCTGAGCTAGACGTTGTCGCTCAGTGCCTTGCACCCCTCCTATCCCTCACTCCACCCAGCCTGTCCTTCACACGACATGACAATGCAACAGTGCAACATGCATTGGATGCACTAAGCCGAAATCAATGGCTTCACCTGGCTTGCCATGGAATGCTGGATCGAATACAACCGTTCGATTCTTCCTTCGCAATGCGCGATGGGCGGTTAACCATCAGGGACATTGTCCGATCTCGCTCGCAGAATCCAGATTTTGCGTTCTTATCGGCTTGCCACACTAGCGTGGGCGATGAGTCGAACACTAATGAGGCGATCCATCTCGCTGCAGCGATTCAATTCTCCGAATTTCGCAGTATCATCGGCCCCATGTGGTTTGTTGACGACGATGTTGCACATCAGGTTGTTTCTGCCTTTTATCTCAACCTGGTGGATGGTCCAGGAAGGTTGGACTGCACACGGGCTGCGGTAGCGTTGCACAAGGCTGTGAAGTCGTTGCGCAAGAAGATTCCACTGGAACAGCAGATCGTGTTTGTTCACGTAGGTGTTTAGTGAGAGAGTGACTCGATTGACCTCATTCTCATTGTCGCATTTTCTTCCTTTCTTCCTTTCTTTCTGTCTGGTTACTTTGATTCCCTTGCTTTCCTGCCGCACGATACTCAAATTGTTGCTGTATTTTGTACCAGTACTTCTACACCGCCTAGCTTGGGCATACATGACCGCAATCTATAACCCTGGTACCGTCATTTTCACTAGTAGCTTCCGCACAGTCAATCACTCTGCCACATAACTACCAATACTGTAGGTGAATTCAACTTTAGTGGCAAATGACTACGTGACGAGACACATTTCGTCAGTCAGCTGGAAGGTGATATCAATATTTGCAGTAACATCCCAGAGTCTACGCGAACCAACGAATTGCGATGTATATAGTACATGATGTGGAGTCCAAGCAACTACCAAAATGAAAACGAATGTGCGCAGCCAAATCATAAATGAGTGTATGAAAATGAAGACGATGTCCATAGGAAAGCAAATGCGAGTCCATGTGAGTAGTTAGACGAGCATCTATTATAAAAGGAAATTAAACGCCAACTAAAAGTCGAGGAAAGCATGGATGGTTGATCTATCTATGCATCTATTAAATGCGACATGCAGATTTAGCAAAAAACGATGCAACAAAATGCACGAAAGCAAAGCAAAAGAACGCATATCAACGCCAACACCAACACCCCCTACAAACTAAACACCCCCGCAGCCCTCCTCCTACTCTGAATCGGATGCACAAGTACCAAACTAATTCCAAGACCCACAGTCAACCCAATACTCGTGCTGATCAACTGCAGCGCCGTCTTGAACCCGCTTAGGTAGGAGGAACTAGAGCCCGAGGTTTGGTCGACGACAAAGTTGAAGAGTCCGCCGTTGCCTAGGCCTGAGGGGAGTTGGAAGAGGATGCCTGTGATCTGCGTGCGTGTGAGATACGAAAAGATGAAAACGCGAGGAAAACAAAGACAAAGAGAACGAGAAAGATTAAAACGCACCATGACGACAAACGCGTTGCCCTCAAAAAACCTCCCATAGAGATTCGACACGAACCCCACAGCAAACGCCCCAACAGCAGCCGATATATCGCTCTGGTTCGGGAATTTGGTGCTTACGAAATGGTTCGTCACCCATCCGATACATGAGATGGCGACTAGGAGAAGCTGTGCGTCGGAATCAGTCAGTGTCGCGTCGGAATCGGGTCGGTGTCACATCAACCCCCCAAAAACCAAAACCCCCATTGAAAACACCCCCAAAAAACTCAAAAACTCACCAACTCCCTCCTCCCAACAACAGCCCCAAACCTCAAACTCAAAAACAAGCTATACAACGGCACACTCAAAAAAGCCCACCACAAACTCGGCGTGCGCTGCCACCACCCGCCCTCCGGGTCGTGGCTCGCCGTGCACATGAAATCAGTGCCGCCTACTAGGGCTTTCCCCAGCATCGTCTGATAGAGCTCTGCACCGATCGCTAGGCCGAAGCCGAGGAAGAGGCTGTACATGAGGGCGTAGCAGAGGCGCACGGAACCTGCTATTAGGGAGCGGGAGGAGATTTCGAGGGAGCCGTTTAGGACTATGAAGCCCTGGGTGGTTTGTTAGCGGGAGACGCGGGGACGGATGCGGTGTGAAGCGAAAAAAGGTATGGATGCGACAGATGCAATGTGACACGACAGAGGGAGGGAGAAAAAGGAACTCAACTCACAGGTAAAATAAGCACCACACTACTACTAGCAACAGCCTCATAACAAACCCTCTTCGTACTAGCAAGCGCAGCGCTCAAAAAGCTCAGCAGCGTCGCGACCGTGATCTCAAACACGTTCCCATACAGCTCGTTGCGCACGCTGAGGAGCTGGATGGTCACGAGGAGCGCACCGAGGGGGAAGGAGACGAGACAGTCGATGAAGGATCCGTTGAATGAGACGCTGCAGATGCTGCTGCTGCACATCCCCCCAAGGAAGATGAGCTGGGGGAAGGAGTAGATCGGCTTTTTGCGCATTAGGGTGTCGAGGGCACTGCTGGCTGAGGATACGGAAATGACGTCGTGGATGACCTGCGCGTTCGACGAGAGGTTGAGGTGAGTCATTCGTTCATAATCAGAAACGCGAGAACGACGTACATCCCAATACAACCCATGCGCCTCTCCAAGCTTGCCCAAATCCAAATTACTCCCCTGCCTTATAAACTTGACATTACTCGTCCCAGTCGCGTTATCTTCGAAGCTGATCCACATGACATCAGGCAGATACATACAGCTCAGCTCTAGCTCCAAAACACGCGCTGTGCTTTGGATCTGCGCGACGAGCCTGTGCGAGGGGCCTCCGAACATCATCATCGCGCGTGCGAGTTTGAGGATGAATTCTTGGCGTTGGAGGATCGCTGCTACGTGATGGGTGATCTGTATGTGAACAAGAATGAAAAAAAAACGACATGAGTAACATAACCCACAGCAAAAAGAAAGAGAAGGAAAAGAAAACGCACATAAACCTCCGCTCTCTTCCTCTTCCGCCTCTTCTCCTTCTCCCTCCTCTCCCTCTCCTTTCTCCCCCTCCTCTCCCTCTCCTTCTGCTCTTCTAACCACTTGGCACCGAAATAATCACTGTCGGCTCTTTCTTTCCCATCGAGTTCCTTTTCCTTTTCATCGGGCGAACCAGCGACGCTACTCGCCCTCGTCCCAGTCCCAGTCCCAGGTGTAGACTCCCCACTAGCACTAACAGGATGGCGCAAAGGCGTCCCAGGCATACTCAACGAAAACCCCATCCCCTTGAAATGCCCCCCATGCAACGGGTGCGGTAAATCCCTCAACACTCCTTTCCACCGCTTCGACTTTTTGAGCTCAGCGGTAGGCAACTTTGTCGGCGGGGTTGACTCAGTGGTGGAAGTTGGTGTGGGTGTCGACGCTGTCGTCGCTGTGGTAGGTGGTGGAACGAGCGTATCTTGAGGAGAAAAATATTCTTCTTCTTCCTGCACTTCCGGATCTATTTCAGTTTCGAGTCGGGGGGGTCGGACGGGGGCTTTAGACGCGACTTCACCCTCGTGGTCTTCTTCGACGGTCCCGCCTACCCCTTTTGTGAAATCGAAATCGGTGCTTTTGGAGCGACGGGGGAGACGTAAGCTTAGACGGGGAGGGGTTCGCTTTGATCCTTCTCCTTCGACGGGCCCGGTAACGGTTCCCTCGCCTAAATCGACTTCGGACGGAGCCCCCTCGCCATCCTCATACCGATACCTTACAAGCCCATACCCCCTCTTCAAATCAGGCGCCAAGCCCAACTGCATCGGAGCAGCAGCACCCGTAAGGGTCCCAGCGCCTGTGATAAGCGCCGCCATACTCGACGGTGGTTTCTCTTTGGGTTTGAGGGAGGAGAGGAGGGAGGCGGTGCTGCTTGAGGCGGAGTGGATGGTGTGGCCTAGGGAGGCGGAGTGTGCGTGGGATAGGGAGTATGATTTTTTGTGTTTGTGTTTTTGTTGGGATTTGGATTTGGGGTGGGGAAGCCATGGAAGGTCGGGGTTGGAGAGGTCTGATTCGTCTCCGCTTTGTGCGTGGTCGTCGTGTTCGTTGCCGTAGAGGGCCAAGAGGGCGCCCAGCACGCCAGAGCCCAGTTTAGGCTGAGAAGGGTGCAAGGGAGGATGGGATTCGGGGTCGTAAGGGGCGTGGGTTTGGGCGTAACGTGGGGGGTGGTGGGGTGTAGGAGCGACTGATGGGGGAGTGTGGAAATGCCACCATGATTTCTTGGGGGGTTGACGCGGCTGTGGGGATTCCTCTACCTCGTCGGGGTCGTCTGTGTCTGTGCCTCTGTTCTCTTTTTCTGGGTCTGGAGCTCGTGAGCGTGGTCTGGAGCGGTGACGACGACCTGGGATACGCCATCGTTTTGTGTGGGCTCTGACGACGCCTGCTGCTTCGCGTACAGCGAGGTGTTCGACGTGGCCGTCTGCTGTGATTTCAGAGTCGCCGCTTTGTTGTCTTGAAGAGAGAGGGAGGCCTGCGCTTTCTAGGGGGTCTATGAAGACTTCACCTGGGAGGGCGTGGGTGCGGCAGGGGAGGAATTGGGTGGAAGATGTGGGGGATGTGGGCGCGGATGAAGTGGGTGTACTTGGGGGATAGGTGTGTGTGTCTGCTTTGGAAGGAGAATTTAAGGAGTAAGAACGGTGGCGCTCTAGTGCGTCTTTGAGTGTTTCGAACGCGTTTGGCTAGACGTTGAATGTGAGTAGGGGTATAAAATGGATGTCGGGTGCTCACGTCTTGTGCCATCTCGTCTAGTGCGTGTGAATCTGGTTCATGGAGGTCCTCCGTGGTTGCCCATTGTACGCGACGGGGAGTACGCGCACCAGGGGTCGGTGACATGATACTGGTCGGCATCGTATTAGACGATGATGAAGACATGAATGAAAATGGCTACGCACCTTTGATATGATTTTTTGAAATAAGAATTGCAAAATGCAATTGTATTGACGGTCTCACTGAAGGGATCTCTTTAAAGTACTATACACTAATAATAGAACTTGACGTCATTTCGCTCTCCACCCGCCAAGGTGTCAACAGTACTCCACTTGTCAATTTCAGTCGCCATCCCTTCACGCGCCTATTTAATCGCGGCTCCACTTCAACTCCTTACGGTCAACGATACTCACCCAAATACCCATTCCAAGCTCAAATTACGCACGTTCCACTCCAGCTGACTCCGGTCCTATAACCCGCCGTTATCATCACCGCGTTATCATTACCATTTCAAGAATCGAGCACGATAAGCGAGTCGGGTCACAATCTTGTCACGCCTACAAAAGACTTCTTTCAGCTTTCGCTTTACTATACCGCCTTCCCTACCACTCGCTCTCCCTTCTTTGTCTACATCCAGTCTTTCACATTCCCATTCCCAACTCCCAGAATGGCCTTGAGGCCCATCCACCACACATTGCTGTTCAACATACGCGGACGACAGCCACGTTGTCAGCGACTCCCCCTCAAACACTATCGTAGAAGCCTTCTTTCACCACTCATCTCCGAGCAAGGATTTCTATCTGATTCACTTGAGAGACGAAACACTGCTCAGAAGTTTCAAGTCGAGGGGCGAACGACTACAGAGCTCCCAATGACCTCAAGGAACCTATTTGGTTGCTTTTTTTGCACGAAAAGTTCAACAAAGTAGGTTCCTTGTGCTAATATGTTCATGCGCGTGCCAGACCTCAAGGAACCTACTACGCTACCTCTTTTCATCGAATGAAAAGATCAGCATAGTAGGTTCCTTGTGCTAATATGTTCTACTGATGCGCGTGCCGCCATCTCTCTTCAAGGCACGGAGCGCGCAAGCAGGCTACAGGGAATATTAATACTCGATTCCTGCTAACGCGAACTCTGCATCCCAGGTGCCTGACACTCATCACGCTCCATGGTATTCATCAAATACTGTTCCTTCAAATGAGTCACGATCGACAAACATTATGTTACAAACGAAGTGTCAAGACGAGGTCAAGATAGTAGTCGTCGTAAAAGTTCTGAAATTCAATTTTTTTTGTCTGGCTCATCCGTTACGAGGTATGCACATGCACCATCGTTCGTCCAAAGGAAGTACACCGTGCTCGTCATTGATGAGGGAAAGACCCCCAATAATTGCACGCCATTGGACGTTCGATCACCGCGCCAAATATCTCAGCGAACTACGTGTTTCGCCGCCTCGTTTTTCCTAACTTTTGCTTTCATTGAGTATATTATTCGAATGTCTAGCTCTTGCAGGCATAATCATTTTCCCCAGGCTTCTCCTTGTCACTCTCAGTCTAGAGCGACTCGCGAAGCGCAGAGTATTGTGCCAGTTCCACAGCGCTTCATCTATAACCCCACAGGTAATACACATATTCAGGGTCTGGGACTGTAACACGACTCACGAGTGCCCATCCTTCATATGCAGCAAATCGTGCCAAGATTGCCTCATCTCACAGACAGGGACGCTTCTATTCGATGAGTCATTGACACGCCTAAGGTGCAAACGAGCCTGCTCCTGTCCACGGCAATTCAAGTACATATTTGCATGATCTGCGTACTCTGGGGTCTACTAAAAATATTAGGAATGCACCAGTAATGAGTGGAACAACTCGTAAGTCGTGATATTGGAACCATCAAGGAGGTTTTGTTCAAGTACTTATTGCATAACAAGATCTATTCAACGTCCTCGGGGGGACCTCGCCGCCACAATATGCCACCACCGCGCTGGCTACTATTATGCTCTAGTATGTGGCGCGAGGTCATGCGGGCACTGGGCACCGCTCAGGCCTATCAGATCTCGTCACAACAATGGTATACTCCTCGTAGTGACGTTTGGCCAAGCTCCTACAATTCGCTTGATTATTGAATTTCTGGATTGGCACATGGTCAGTGAGCGCGTTTCCCACATCACTGCAAAATATGAAAACTGGGTGAATAGATCATCATCATAGGAGTTTCACTGAACCGTACCAAGAGGACTCGTGAAGTGAGTCTGGAATATTATGTGAGTCGGGAGAATTAATATTTATCTTGTGCCTGCATTCTTGATGCCTTCCAACTTCCGAGGCATTCAAAACAATTACATCACGGAACGTGAGCCTGCACTCTCGATACCTTCCAAGGCATTCAAAACAATTACATCACGGAACGTGAGCCTGCACTCTCGATACCCTTCCAAGGCATTCAAAACAATTACATTACGGAACGTGAGCCTGCACTCTCGATACCTTCCAAGGCATTCAAAACAATTACATCACGGAACGTGAGCCTGCACTCTCGATACCTTCCAAGGCATTCAAAACAATTACATCACGGAACGTGAGCCGGCATCTGTTTCGTTACCCAGCATCCAGTGATGCAGGGGTACGTGCAGATTGTTTGGCTTCCCCCTATACAACCCGTGTATAAAAGCCAACATACCAGCTCCAGAACCAGACAACACCAACAAGTTCCAGCCATGAAATTCGCTTCATTCACCACCATGATCGTATCTGCCGCAGTGATGGCTAGCGTAGCTATCGCATCCGAGGACCTGTCGATTACACCCAAGAACCTCCCTTGCAACAATCCCGGTGAGCACTTCTACAGCTTACCTGCAAACCTAGACCGCATGCTGAAGGCTATCCACAGGTGAGACGGGGTGCTCGACGGGCCTCAAGGGCTACAACAACGGCAATGATTTCGGGTATTTTTGTGGAGCTAACCGCAAAATCATATCCTTCACGGCATGCCCGTGCAAAAATTGTTGTCATGTGACTTCCGACGGGAATGACTTCACTTGTTCATGATCCTTGATGCTTGCTCAACCACACAGTGCTGAGTGAGCCCATCCCTCGTCGTTTCCCTCCGAGTGCGAGTGCTGATGTGCTTTGCTTTGCTTTGCTTTCGCTAGTGCGTAGAACATTTAATATTGGCGTGATACGCGCAAGAGGGCGTGAAGGAGTACTAGTACTGTAGCGTCGTGAAGCGTTTTGGAGCCAATTGAATCGTCACACTGTTCTCGCTGTCCAACGATGCATGCTAAAATTGTGATGCAAAGTACATAAACCAGTCAACCTTGCGCTTCCGCCCCAGGGAGTCCACTGAGGTTTGGTATGAAGCCAGGAATCAAAAGTCCCCATCAAATTTGTCTGATCCTCAGCAATAGCATGTCAAGTCATTTGTTTTTAGATACGTTTCGGACGTTCCCTCATTCTTCCTCTTGGGTTCTTTGGACTTGTGATGCCTTGTTTCCTTTATGCAGGTGTGAAGTGTCATGATTGTTTTACGTTCTCGGTGTAGCTGGCTTGTTGGAATCTAGGGTGGAGGTGGCCACGTTATGACTGTTGGTGAGTATCGCTGAAGAGTTATTGTTGCGCACCAGCTTACTGGTATTTATACAGGGGGTTTCTATCTGCACGAATTCTCAAACTTCAGCTGGTGAGTGACGATCATCACTTTTGGTCTTTAATGTACTGAGGCGGTTCTCCAGGATGGCTTCCAAGTTACAAGCTCGTATCTTGCAATTTGTCTTTCATGCTGATCTGACACATTCGGAGTGCCGTATATGTTGTCTTACAGATCAGGCTCGTCATCTCACGCACCGACTCCAAGCCTGCGCAACTAGACCGTAATTGGGATCAGCATGTCTTCTCGTTTGCGACACGAGGGCATCCACGCCTGAGTCCTGACATTGTTTCAAGACCGTACCATTCGCAGGAGGCGTTGTCAAGTATACGAATGCAGCCGCTATCAATGGTGCTTCCAGGTCGCAAATCCGAGGGAAACGGAAAGGCTTGTCACCCAGGGTTGAAGTGTGCTTAGATGTCGTTGCGCAGATATATTTTATGTGTAGATCATCTTTGGAGTCTTGGCAATGTTAATGGCGCTGCTTCGCGCTTACTATGGACTCGTAGACTAGGTGGTACAATGTGTGCCCGAAAAATGATAGTTGATGTTTGCTTACATAATCTATCATTTTTCGGGTGCGATCCTAATGCTAGAATCAAAGACACTTTTTCGCCAGTTGGGGGGGGGTGTTTTCGGTGGTGTCGATATGTGCTTTCCCGCTGCACTGCTACGTGCAAGTCTCTGCGTCTGCTATGACTCTGGTTTTCTTTTTTGATCTCTCGGTGAGCTGGATTCGCGGGTCTCGAAGTATGTGTCTTTTGAAGTCACGTGACCGAGAATTTAGATGTGCGGTGCGCTCAACCAACTCGTGAGTATGAGAGACCAGAATTCAGAATCGTTTCTGACGAGGTGCAGAACGAGACGAGAAGGCGGTGGAAGCCTAAAACCGAAAAACAACGAGTGTGAGGTAGTTTAGGGACGACAAAAACCGGGTGCACGACGCTACCCATCCTGAGCATTGCTCACCACTCAGTCGTGACCCGGGGCCAACGACTCCCCCTTGTTACGAGAACTGCGAAGGGATACAATATGATTGCGTGGGAATATGACTACTTGAAACGGCGCGCGTAACTGTTCATTGACGAATGGACCATCGAAATACGAGCGTCTGTGAAGGATGAAGTAACAAAAAGAGGTAAGATACACTCAATCTTCCTCCAATAGTCCAAGAATGCGTGCGATTTCCAACGTCCTTGTTTGGCCACGATGTCGGGAGGGATGCCACGTAATAACAATTCTGATGCGCCCCCAATTCTAAAGCAATGACCTGACAGTTCCAATAGCCCGGCTTCCCGCCATATGTAGTTGCAACGTGCCAGAAGCCATGGTCTTGTCATTGGCGCCCATCCTCCGCTAGCTGTTTCATAGGCGAAAAATGGTGCTGTCTGAGGCACGTTTGCATTCGCGGACATATGATGCTCGAGTGCCGTTACCGGATTGGTCAAGTCGTCGATTTTAGAAGCTACGATGTCCTCGCCTTCATTGTGCGTGGTTTTTGTCCAAGGTATGTGGATGACGGTGAACGGGAGTTGGTTCGGGAGACTTCGTTTGCGGACTGACGTGGAGCGTGAAATGTGTTTGGCGGGGTCGAAGCTATTTAGTGAGTCCACTACGAGCTCTCCGAGTCTGTAACTATTAAGTCAATGAACCGAGACTGGTATGCTGTGTCCTACCTGCAGCAGCACCAGAACGCGACGCACGACACTGCGTATACAGCTGCGTCGAAGGCGTTTGAGAGGTCTAGTCCCCGGAATAAGGCGTGCATGTGCTCTAGCGTGACGGGTGGTCTACGAGGACGCTTTGATGAGTCGGGTACGGTTTTTGCAAGACCTGCTGTTGCTGAACGTAGTAAGGCATGTCCGAACCATGGGGCACCATGGAGGTTGTGCCAGAAATGTAAACCTGACAACCAGTTCTGTGCTGTGGTTGTAGCGACTTTCCCGGCCCATGACGCGATGAACGAGGCGAGCAAACGATCTGATGCTGGCATCCTACTTTTTTCTGAGATTTTTCTAGAGTCACAATACTGGTGAAATCGTAAGAGACCGGCACCGTAATTCTCTCGTGTTTTGGGCTCTATTGAGACGAGCATTACGTCGAAAAGTTGCAGAACGTCTGCCAATGGGAGTTCTTCAAGAATGGAACTGTGAAACGAGTCTGAGTGCGGCGTGAACCATCTGCGAAGACGATCACGCGCAGGTACAAGAGGTCTAAGTGTTGAAGGTGCGAGTTCGTTGCCTTGTTTGGGTTTTCTTGGCTTTATCTTTTTGATGACAGCGGAGGGCGGTACCCCAACCGAGGGGGGAAGTGCCAAAGCCTCCCTCAGGTGAGCCAGAGCTGCCACGGCGTTGGCTGTTGCCGACGCCGTTCGACGATCGTTACTGGACATAAGATGCAATGAATGGCGTGAGCTCCTCGGGGAGCTGGAGTGGGGCAAGACGAAATTCGGGCGACCCAACCTCACCGCGAGAGATTGCGTCGGCCCGATTTCGAGCGGACTCGACATAAGAAAGTACGTGGAACACGTTGGAAGCCATTGCGATGGCCTCCACCCGTCTGATGCAAACGTTAACCTGAAAGTTTCTACTCCTTCCCTTCTGGAAGGAACCTATAACGCCTTGATTATCCGAGTGGATCAAGACCGAAGCGTCTTTCCACCCGCGATCGAACAACGTGCGAACTGCCAATTCGACGGCAATCGCCTCCAACCAACCGATATCTCTTCCGTTCCCCTTCCATCCGTCGCACAATGTCCAGGCGTTCCACTGTTCTCCCAGCACGATCCCAATTCCCCAGTCAGTTGATGCGTCCACCCATAGCCCGATGTCCTGCGTCCTTCCTCGTGGCGAGAGACTGCGGGGGGAGTGTTTGTGTGACAGAGTGTCCAACCACCACCTCAAATCACTCTTGACTGATGGTGGTGGGTGACGTGCTGCGAAACGTGCGTGGAATTTCGAGTGCGCGTTGAATTGGGCTATGAACCCTGATAGGTTGGCTAAGTATGCCCTCCCATGTGGGATCACGAACGACACGTGGGACAACGTTCCATTTACGCTCATAGCGTCTTTGCATGACAGTCGGCCACCTGCCTCTACGTGCGCAACGACAGAAGTGAGTTTCTTCAAATACTTGGCTTGCTTCTCGATCGGGAGTTCTACCGTGTGGTTGACTAAGTTCCATAGGAACCCTAAGTATATGAAGGCGATGGCGAAGTCGGTCCACTTGGTTGGGTGCCAAGGGATTCCTAGAGGTCGCGAATGCCTATAGACGTCTTGCAAGTCGTGCGCGTAGACGAACGGCGATTTTGAACCATCGGGCAGAAGTTCTCCCCCGCTGATCGCGAACCGGAAGAAGGTATGATCGTCTACCCATTTCTTGATGGGGCCCAACTCTAAGTTGTGCAAGATATCGACTGACGCATCTGCCACGTTGTCTTACTACTTGAGGGTCTTATATGTTTTTGTGTAAATGTAGTGACACCACAACTACACTTTGATAAGACAAGAGTTGCCAACTCCTCAAGTACACGGTCAACGGATTTTCTAGTTTTCTCGGTTGATAACGTGTCGTTCGTGGGAGGCTCGACTATACAGTCTGTCGTTGGTTCTTGGAATGGGGTTCGGTTTTGGATGGGATGATAGACCTAGATGATAGGCCTGATACGATGAACTGTGTAGAATAGATGGACTAGACTACGTTGACGAATGGTTTGTCCGAATGGTCCTTGGACAAATATACAAGTGGATGCGCTACACAACACTTGGCTGAAGTGTGTGGATCCTTTGATGAATGAGGGACCTTTGGTATGGAGCAAAAGTCCTTGGTGGTGTGGAATTGGGAAGCTGACTAAGCTTTACCCAGACAGATCCTTGCTGACGTAATCAAAGCAAGAATATCTCCTGAAGAGTTCTTTGCCCAAACAGCTCTTGGACAAAAGATATGGGTTGTGTGGGATGCTGACTAAGCTTTTCCCAGACAAATCCTTGCTGACTTAATCAAAGCAAGGAAACAGCAGTTCTAGACCAACAAAGGACTAGAAAAGAAGGTTAGGGTGACTAAATGCCCCTAACAACAGTAAAGATAGCACAAGACTAAGATTATATCAAATCTTAGTGTAGTAAGGCTGTCAGTATCAGCCTGCACTTCAGATGATAGATGTGAAGTGGGAAATCTCCAATATGGGGAGTCTCTCATTTCTCCTCAGAGAATTGAGCCTCCTTATATACATTTGGTGTGGGAAATATCCCAGGAACTGTATAGTACCAAGAAAATAGAAAGAGACACAAATCTCAGAAGAAATAAGGTAGTTGTAGCATAAAATGCAGAATTGAAGTGGAAAGAACACCAAAGGAGGAAAATGACTCATTCTGACTCATTTGACAGCAAATGACATCACTGTGGAGCAGTGTGGAGCATTTGTGGAGCAAAGTGGAGCTGAATGATATCATTGTGGAGCTATGACATCAAATGACATCATTGTGGAGTTATGACATCGAGTGACATCGTCCAAGATCAAATGACTCAATTCTGGAGTCACATGACTTCTCCTAGGGTTAATTACATGTTATGTAAGCTCAGATTGTGGCTGAAGCTCACATAACGT